GGAAAGGCCTCCCCGCAGCGCGGCTCGGGGCAGGGGAAGGCCGGCGGCCCCGCCGGCCTTCCCCTGCCCCGAGCCGCGCTGCGGGGAGGCCTTTCCCCGCAAGCAGCAGCTGCGGCTGCACCGCCTGACGGCGCACGGAGGCGGAGGGGAGGACGGCCGCGGGGCGGCGGCTGGGGGGCCGGCGCGGCCGTTCGGCTGCCCGGTGCCGGGCTGCGCCTGGTCCTTCGCCACGGCCTACAAGCTGCGGCGGCACCTGCACTCGCACGACAAACTGCGGCCCTTCGCCTGCGCCGCGCCCGGCTGCTCCAAGCGCTTCACCACCGTCTACAACCTGCGGGCCCACAGCCGCGCCCACGAGCAGGAGGCGGCGCACAAATGCGAGGCGTGCGGGCAGCGTTTCCCCAGCGCCGCCCGCCTCGCCGCCCACCGCCGCCGCAGCCACCTGGAGCCCGAGCGGCCCTACCGCTGCGACTTCCCCGGTAAGCCGCGCCCGGAGCCGGGCTCGCGGGGCTCCGTGCCTGTCTCGTCCGTCCCCGTAGGGCCGCCCTCGGGTTAGCCCGGGGTCCCAGTTGTGCTCGTTTTGCTTCCTTGCAGCTTCTTTTTCCTTTCCTTTTGGAGCCTCCGGGAACGCCTAGCTCCTTGACACCCTCGTTAACAAGGGGGAGGTTTGGGATCGGGGGGTGCTGCTGTGCCGGGGTGGTGGAACGCCAGCAATGGAAGCGCCAGCCTTGGGTTGTGCACCTTACACAGGCTTAGGTTGCCTGCTTTGGCTGAGTAACTGTAACCCCTGTTTGTCTCTTGTGGGTCTGGATATAATATTGAGGGCTATTAGGAAAACTTTCTTCTCAGAAAGAGTGATAAGGCACTGGCACTGCTGTCCAGGGAGTGGTGGAGTCACTATCCCTGGAGGTGATTGGGAGCCTTGGAGATGTGGCCCTGAGGCATGTGGTTGTTGGCATGGTGGTTGTGGGTTGACAATTAGAATCAATCTTAGAGAGCTTTTCCGACCTTAACAATTGTAGGAAAGCATCCTTCCTGGCTCACTTGCATACCAACCTGGTGCATGTTTGTTTCCTGTCTCTCTGTAGGTTGTGAAAGGACGTTTATCACAGTGAGTGCGCTGTTCTCCCACAATCGGGCCCACTTCAGGGAGCAAGAACAGTTCTCCTGCTCGTTCCCAGGCTGTAACAAGCAATATGACAAAGCGTGTCGGCTGAAAATCCACATGAGGAGCCACACAGGTACTCACGAGGGCAGCGTGTGCCTGGGGAAGGCACATAGAGGATGGGCTGTGAACAGTGGGATTTGGTGTGTTGGAAGGGCTGAAGGGCACAGAGGTGGGAGGGATGGTGTGGTCTGTCGTCTGCTTGTTGCTGTCCTTGGCTTTCCTGGTTTCGTGGTTCTACAGTTTAAGAAGTGTCATTTTGATTAAGTGAAGGGTCATAGAAGTGATGCAACTAAGCTCTTCGTATTGTAATAATCAGCATAGAGCTGTGGTCATGAAAGCAGGAAAAGAGCTTCCAGTCATTCATTCTGAGTAGTGCTGTAACTGGTTATCTGAGCACATTCAAGGTAGTTGTGGAGTACTGGGGAAGTATCTGGGGGAAAATGGGGAGAGCACTGTGAAAGGTCAGGTTTTGGAAAACAGTCAAGGAAAGGTAAGTATTGAATGCAAAGAGCACAAAACTGAGACACAGGTTTTTGATTGGATGTGCTAATAACGATCTGTGCTCCGTGATGCATATGGAGATGTGCAGTGGCCTTGAGGTAAAGAAAGTGCTGACTGTAGAGGAAGGGAGAGGGCATCACTGCTTGAAGAGAAAGCTGAGGTGCTGAATGAGTTCTTCACCTCGGTCTTCACTGGTGGCCAGGATTCTAGTCTTTTTCACGTCCCTGAACCCTGCATCCCCAAACCTCTATGTGGGGACCAAGGAGGTAAATCCCTCCCCACTGTAAGGGCAGAGCAAGTCCGAGAGTGCCTCCTTAGACTGAATGAATTCAAGTCTATGGGGCCGGATGGCGTGCATCCCAGGGTCCTGAAGGAGCTGGCTGAGGTGGTTGCCGAGCCACTCTCCATCATATTTGAGAAGTCGTGGCTGTCAGGTGAGGTCCCGGATGACTGGAGGAAGGGTCACGTCACTCCCATATACAAGAAGGGGAGCAGGGAGGACCCGGGGAACTACAGGCCGGTGAGTCTCACCTCCGTGCCTGGGAAGATCATGGAACGGATCCTCCTGGACAACATGCTCGATCACATAAAGAATGAGCATGTGATCCGAGACAGCCAGCACGGCTTCACCAAAGGAAGGTCATGCCTAACTAATCTTGTGGCCTTCTATGATGGAGTGACGGCATTGGTGGACGAAGGGAAGGCGACTGATGTCATTTACCTGGACCTGAGCAAGGCCTTTGACATGGTCCCCCACCACATCCTCATCTCCAAATTGGAGGGAAGTGGATTTGATGGGTGGACGACCCGATGGGTAAGAAACTGGTTGAAAGGCCGCAGACAGAGGGTGGTGGTCAATGGCTCTATGTCCAGGTGGAGGCCGGTAACAAGTGGTGTCCCCCAAGGGTCTGTCTTGGGACCGGTGCTCTTTAACATCTTTATTAATGACATTGATGAGGGAATTGAGTGCACCCTCAGCAAGTTTGCTGACGACACCAAGCTGAGTGGTGCGGTTGATACGGTGGAAGGAAGGGATGCCATTCAGAGGGACCTCGACAGGCTGGAGGGCTGGGCTTGGGTGAACCTAATGAGGTTCAACACGGCAAAGTGCAAGGTTTTGCATTTGGGCCGGAAGAACCCCAGGCACCCGTACAGGCTGGGAGGAGTGGTCCTTGAGAGCAGCTCGGCAGAGAAGGACCTGGGGGTCCTGATGGACGAGAGACTGAACATGAGCCAGCAGTGCGCTCTGGCAGCTCGAAAGGCAAATGGGATCCTGGGCTCCATCAGGAGAGGGGTGGTCAGCAGGGACAGGGAGGTGATCGTCCCTCTCTACTCGGCTCTTGTGAGGCCCCATCTGGAGTACTGTGTCCAGGTGTGGAGCCCTCAGTACAAGAAGGACATTGAGATTTTGGAGGGGGTCCAGAGGAGGGCGACTAGGATGATCAGGGGGCTGGAGCACCTCCCCTATGAGGACAGGCTGAGGGAGTTGGGCTTGTTCAGCCTGGAGAAGAGAAGGCTGCGGGGTGACCTCATTGCAGCCTATCAATACCTGAAGGGAACCTACACCCACGAGGGGAGTAAACTCTTCAAAAGGGCTGACAACAGCAGGACTAGGGGAAATGGATCGAAGTTGAAGGAGGGAAGATTTAGGTTGGATGTTAGGGGGAAGTTCTATACAAGGAGAGTGGTTAGGCCCTGGAACGGGCTGCCCAGGGAGGTTGTGGATGCCCCGTCCTTGGATGTGTTTAAGGCCAGGTTGGACAGGGTCCTGGGCAACCTGATCTGAATGTGTGTGTTTGGTGGCCCTGCTAGGCAGGGGGGTTGGAACTACATGATCCTTGAGGTCCCTTCCAACCCGGGTGATTCTGTGATTCTGTGATTCTGTATGTGATTTACCCGAGGTGGTGGTTGAATCTTGTAGTCTTGAAATAACTGAATTTAAGCAGCATTGGGGATTTCTTAATCAAATACCAGTGTGTGATGTCGTATTGTTAATGTGACCTTTCTTTGCTTAAGGTGAGAGGCCTTTTATCTGCGACTTCGAAGGCTGTGGCTGGTCTTTCACCAGCATGTCCAAGCTGTTGCGACACAAGAGGTAGCATTTTCAGATTGTGCTGTTTATTCTAAGTCCCTCTCTGTTTGTTAGATTTTATTTTTCCTTCCAGTAGTCAAGCAGTGGATGTGGTCTTGTTGATGGTGATTCTGTTTGTTTGTAGGAAACATGAAGATGACAGGAGGTTCACTTGCCCGGTGGAAGGCTGTGGGAAGTCCTTCACAAGAGCAGAACACCTGAAAGGCCACAGCATAACCCACCTCGGTACAAAGCCATTTGAGTGCCCAGTAGAAGGTACTGCTCAGCTCTTGCATTAACTGGTACCTGGTGTGTGCTGCGTAAATAGAGGAAAGCTGTGTGCTTTTCCCCAAACACAAGCTAGTTACAGGAGCAGAGGGAGAATTCTAACAGAATCAGAAGAGATAAAACTGAAGGTCCATCACTTCAGTTGGATTCCAGGAATGTAGAAGGTTGGGTATGATCTGGAGTATTCATCTTCACAAAGTAAAACAGCTCTTCTTGGTGGTTGTTTCTCCTTTTAATGGTTTTACCAGCAGTTGTCACCAAGCATTTTCACTTAAAATACCATAGTGGGGAAGGAATATATTGAGTGACTTAGCATTTCTTCTTGTCAGAAGTGGCTTGCTGAGCTGTCCTATCCACTGAGATGTCCTTGATGTAAAACGAGAGGTCGTATATTTGGCTTTCTTCTGAGTCCTCTGAATGTATGTCCAGATGCTACAGACCAACAGAGAGTTCTGCAGCACTGCTGTGATTTGTTTTGTAGAGACACTAAGCCTGAACATCAGGCTGAAAGAAGCTGAGTCCTTAAAGCCATCTGTATCTTCTTGCAGGCTGTTGTGCAAAATTCTCAGCACGGAGTAGTCTGTACATTCATTCCAAAAAACATCTTCAGGATGTGGACTCTTTAAAGACTCGCTGCCCTGTGTCCAGCTGTAATAAATTGTTCACTTCCAAGCACAGTATGAAGACACATATGGTCAAACAACACAACTTCAGCCCAGGTAGGGGATTTGTTTCAAACTGTGTGAGGTGCCGCAGACCAACTCAACGTCTCTAAAAGCTTCTTCCTCTGATCATTCATATTCTTTCATTCTCAGTGTCTGACGAAAGCTCTGATTTATAACCAAACCCTCCCCAAAAAGTTGAATTTTTAGTGGGCTGTTGCATGTTTTACTGCCGTTGGGTTCCCTAAGAGCGGGTAATAGTCTACTGGATTTCTTTCAAATTTTCACAACTCCTTCTCATGGTAAGTCAAACTCTTTCCTCCTTTCTTTGTCCCAGCGATTAAAAATGTCCAAACTGTATTCCATTGCAGATCTCCTGACGCAGCTCGAAGCAACCAGCTCCCTCACACCCAGCAGTGAGCTCACCAGTCCAGGACACAGCGACCTCAGCAACATAGACCTCGTTTCCCTATTCTCCAACGTGTCCAGCAACAATTCGGGAATCTCGACAGACATGGCGCTAGTGAACTCTGGAATCGTCACCATAGATGTTGCCTCAGTAGGCTCAACTCTTGGAGGAAACCTGCCTGTCAGTAGCAGTTCTTTAAGCCAGGCAGTCGATCCCTTGATACT